TCTTATTATTATCAATCAGAACAGTTGTGCTTCTTAAAATGTTTGTGGGAATTTTTTTTTTCTAACAATCGTTTGATTAATTTAATGCATCCTTCCTTAATAAAAGTAATCATTTCATTTCTTATACATCTTTGGGGTCTCTGTGACTCCAAATAAAGTAAATCTGAACAAAACATGAGTGTTCAAGTTGCTACACCAGTTGCTGCATGTTCAACCAAAGAGTGTGAATGATTGTGAAAATGAAACTGTTAAAAGCCTAAACTGCTGAGTGCAGGACTGCTTCAAACTGACACTTTGCTACAGACAACATCTCTTCATTGTATTGTGTTGACCCACAGTTCAAGAGGAAAACCAGTCTGAATGGCTCCAATACATACCATTTGCATTGTGACCATACATTCAAATGCATTATAGCTCGCATTCACAGTGAAGAACCATTCTTTGCGTTTCCATTCAAACCAATATAACCACAGATGTCTGATCGTTTAGTCCAAGTGACATCTTCAGTTCCCCTCTTAGTTTGTTTCTTGTAATTAGCCTTTCACCCCTCCCCCAACAAAAAGCTTTGCTTAGTCCACCATGCTAGATGACCCCTTTAGCTTAATTATCCCTAGGCAGGAAAACACTACTAATGTGAACTGATGCATAAACGCTCTGAGTGGACAGAGAGGGAGCGACTGCACTGCCTCAGGCCATTCTTGGCCTCAAAAGCTGCAGATCAGATCAGTCATATCATGACAGCGAGATAAGGACAGGGAGAAACCACATGGAGAGCTCAAACAAAGAAGAAAGACAGTAGAATGCTAGAAATGTAGTTGGAAAAATAAAAACACAAAAAATTATGGATTTGCTTCAATTTATATCATAGTCCAGGGGGTTTCAATCCTGGGTACAGGGGTTACTTGAGGATAGTGGAGAAATTATTTGACAGAAAGAAAAAGCTTTTTATAAAACATATTCTTAGGTCAACGTTAACATTTTGACTGATGATACTAATTAAATATTTTAAATGTTATAATTTTATAACACATTTTCCAAATTTGATGTTATTACGGTTTCATTCGGCTTTCTAAAGGCTGGTTCATAAGATTAATCACAATTATTTTATTTTTGCCCTGATTTTTTTATGAATATTTTAAATAACAGTTAATACAAAGTACACATTTTCTAGATAATATCTTGTTTTGGATTTAGTTCAGTGACAACATAAAAGCCAACTCTTTTTCAAGCCAAAACTATTCTTCAATAGTTTTCCTCACACAATATAAATGGGTCTTTATGCATGAAATATATACACATACCATTATATACTGTATATTATATCATGTGTGTATAAGGAGGTAAGTTTGAAAATCACTGAGATACTCAACAAACTATGACCCAATCAGATACATGTTAAATAGGTTGCACAAGTAAAGACCTATAAAAGACAAGTAATTTACATAAAACGTCATTATAATGGATCTTTGTGCCTTTTCTTATTATACTCCCACTGTGGGACAGTGAAATCCTATCAACGTCCCACCAAACAGACATTACAATACATACAAAAGTAAACACTGCAAGAATGTTGTCTTACCCAGATCTCCATGGAAACTGCTGAAGTTGTTGGAGCTTCCGTCAGCAGGCCAGATCTTGCGGACACCAACAACATTGGTGTCGGAGAGTGCTATCTGCTGCTTGATACGCTTCTGGGACTGTGGGGTAGGGGGGCTGCCACTCTCAAAAGACTGCTGGGAGTGCTGGGATGGAGAGCGACTCTTCTCTCGGTACATTCTGTAGGCGGTGGAGCTTGGGGACACGTGGCTGGACTGCCCTGAGGAGAAGTCTTCTTCGCTGGACGTCAGGTTTTCATTTGAGCTGCAATCCGGCGTGTATCCATCCTCAAAACTCCCAGGCGAGTAAGACCGCCTGGGCCAGGTCAAGTGCAGGTCCTCTCCATCTCCCATAATGCCCCCCACATAAACAGTTGTATAGGGCTGACAGTCTGACTGGTGCCAGTTCTGCGGAGTTGCTCTTCTTCCATTAAGTCTTGAAGAACTATCCTTAAGGAACCCAGGGTTTAGATCGGGCTCCTCGTACTTACAGTTGTAACCGCTCTCCATTGCTCTTTCATGAGAACGCTCTGGTTTACGGATGTCCCCAAAAGCAGTGGACAGATTACCCGGGACAGAATGCAAAGACCTCTTGCGTTCCATCTGCATAGCTTGACTGCCCAGACTACTTATCTTCTCTGAGACATCTCTATCATTGACCCGAACAAGACCTTTCTCGTGATGGTACTCCATGTTGACGTAGTAAGGCCTCTCGCTTTTCCCCTCACCAGATGTTTGAGAATTGGCTCTTCTGATACGTTCAAAGTTTGACCGAAGCGCAGCAACTCCCAACCCCGTGGTGACCTTCTCCTTTGGTGGAGACTCTGGAACGCCATCCGCCTCATGGTGCGCAGGTCCACGTCCAGCAATGGGCCTGAGGGGAGCTTCAATGCTCCTATTTTTGTATGGAGACATCCCGTCAACTTCTCCATCTCTGCTTTTCTGCCTGTCCAAGTCACATCCCACCACCTTAACACAAGGCTGAGACTCGTGACTCTCCTCTGCTGCGGTTGTGTGCTTCATTTTGGCAGGGAGACACCTGCTTCCATCGGCTTTCTGATGATGCTCATCCGTGGACGCTGGCTTATGCTCACCTTGCGAGACCCTACCGAAACCCCATCGCTGAGAGTCATGACTTCTCCGCTCCTTGGCTAGAAGCGTTTGCAGGTAGATCATTCGAAAACGCTCCTTGTTCACTTCCATCTCCAGACGCCTAATAGAGTCTCTGCATTTCTCCAGCTCCTGCTCAATGTCTCCAACAGAGTTCAAAGACATCTCAGGAGGATCTGAATCAGGGAACTGAGCTTTCCATGCTTCCACAAAGCCAGCAGATTCTACCATGATTGCTTACTGCTGGTTTACTTTTTTTAGGAGCGAAAAAAAAAATTACATGTTAAAATCACTTGTTTGTAAGAATACACCCAAAGCCATGCTGATTTATAACTTTATATCCGACATCTGAACTTGTCCTGTGTACATGCAGAACATCATCTCAACATCTGATAAACACTTACTCAGCTGATCTTGGACAGACACACAAGGTAAACACAAAAAGCAGAGCTGAAACATCCATGTGCACTTCAAACATCTATTGACATCCGCGTTTCATGCCATTTAAATGGCAAATGATGACTGAGAATCCCTTGTAAGCGTGCAAAATTCACTTCTCCCTCATGTTAGCTGATGAAATATATATATATATATTTTTTGCTGATTTCAGTTATGTATCCAAAGAAGTTGTCGGAAATTAGCCCTGTTATTCTCTCAAGCGTCCGTATTTCTCAAAGATACGCTGTACTCTCGCAGGGCTGCCACTGGCATCGCTGTCCGTCACTTCATATGATCTGACTGTATCTGCTCTCAGTCTCTCTCTCTCGCTCTCGCTCTCAGTGCTGCTGCAGGAAGAGGTGGGACTAGACGAGTACATGATTAATAGCGACTGCACAGACAATCTCAGTTTAAAGACACAGACTCGGCTATTCAGGAGCAAAGAAAAAGAAAACGTGCAAAAACTGTTTGCGACGCTTAAGTAGCGGGCTTATTTTCCACTCCCTTACTCGCAAATTCACAAACAATTGTACAAATAATTTACAAATTTACAAATAATTGTAAACCAGATATTAATTACCTCACATTTTCAGACCCTATCAATATTTATGAAAAAAATATCGCTTCTGTAGAATTTTAAACTTATTCTATTGTAATACACCTGACAGTATGATTGTAAACTTCTGTGGCATTTTGTAGCGTACACACAGTCTGGTCAGCTATCCTTGTGGGGACTCTCCATAGGCGTAATGGTTTGTCTACTGTACAAACCGTATATTCTATTGCCCTTTACCAACCCTACCCCTAAACCTACCCCTCACAGGAAATTTTCTGCATTTTTAGATTTGCAAAAAACTTCTTTCTGTATGATTTATAAGCTTTTGTACCCGTGGGGACCACAATTTAGGTCCCCACCGTGACACGAGTCCCCATGAGTCTGTGTGTAGTCAGGTTTAAGTCCCCACCAGGATATATAAACCTGTACACACACACACACAAAATAATGGTTATCATCTAAGATAAATCACTTATAGTGTAAAAATAATACATTACATTTGGTTATCCCTAAACTGCAAACAAGTTCTATAGAAACTATCTGTTGAATCTATATCTATAGATATCTATAGATGCACCAAATGATTCACTGATTAAGCATTAAAATGAGTTAGATTAAAAAAATATACAAATGTATTAAACTGAATGAGGAGACGTGCAAATAAAAAGTCTGATAGTAAGAGCTTTATGAAAGGCATTTACTGTGAATGAAACCTTTATAGATGTGTAGTGAAAAGGATATTTTGTGATTGTGTGTATTGTAATAAGACAATTATGTTTGAAAAATGTTTGAAAAAAGTGCACTTTTGATGATCTGTTGTGATATTATACTAAGAGTTTTGAAAATTTAACAGCTGCTTGTGAAAATAGTACAAAAGTGAATAAAAAAAAACTAGTTCTTTAATGTTACATATGCCTGAGTGACAGCTTTCATACCTTTTTTCTGAGTGTGTGACACTGAAGACTGCGGTAATGGCTACTGAAAATTAAGCTTTGCCATCACAAGAATAAATTACATTTTAAAATATATTAAAATAGAAAGCAGTTATTATAAATTAATAAAATAATATTTTAAAATGTTAGTTTTTACTGTACTTATGACGTAAACGTGGCATTGGTGAGCAGGGACTTATTACAAAAACCTTACTATTAGACATAATTTGATGTTTTATTTGAGTCAGTATAATTATATTGTTAAATCCATGGATAATTCTCTGAAATGAAATGACAGAAGATGGACATGTATAACATGTATGAGTCTTTGATCTCACTGATTGTATGACAATAACAAGATGCCAGGACACACAAAAGATAAAGTTTATTTATGCAATTTTTAGGATACAAAATTAAAATACAGCTAAGGCCATTGTATTTATTTAGTTTTAGTCATTTCTTTCATCAAAGTACTATTTAAGAGGGAGCATTTGTTTTCACCTTGGAGTTGTTGTAATTTGTACAGGGTTTATAAGGGACTTTTAAGAACAGCAGAATTTTCAAAAATCCTTGCACATATCTTAAACACTGGCTCAGAGAAATGTATTGTAAATGTCAGAAGTGTTATATAATAATAATATAAATAATAATAAACTTAGAGGCATGTTTCTTATCAAACAACGGAATGCACATAATCCATCTGACATTAAACAAACTGATTCATGCAGGATTTAAAAAAAAAAAAAGTAATTACTAAGCATTATTTAAGCTGACCAACTGTTAGCCAAAAGAGAACACTTTCCTTTAACTCATTTCATACATTGATTCACAAAGTTCATTTGCTGCACATTTCAGGAAGTGATCAAAAAATTGCAAATCAAAACCAGTGTTAGCAATTACAAGACTGGATGTAGGAATTTAGGAGCCTTTTTCAAGACAATCCTTATCCTTATTATTATTTTAGTGGTTCATTCTCGGACATGAGCTCAGCTCTAGCTGTTGCACAGAATATGATGCGTTTCTAATGTGAATTCTACAGAAATAAGTCAATATTGAACAGCACTGCTCCCTCTTTTCATTGGTTGTTTTGAATATGTTTCTTTGTAACAGCTACATTGTAAACAAAAGCACACAGTTACCAAATTCACAAGGTTTAGGGTTTAGACCCCATGCATCTGAATCGAAACACAAAGTGGTCTACATATGTTCTGTTTCTAACATCATTCTCATTGAATTAAACACGGTAAAGGAGCGTTTGCATGAACATGAAGAAACGCTTTGCTCCCTTTGGATTTTTTAGTGGTTTACATGAGTTTATACATGTGCAAAGGAAAAGCAAATAATACAGGGGCCCTTGAAAAGACAAATGAAGAAGAAAAACAAGTTAGACTGAGAGAGGAAGTATGGAAAACGAGGAGAGAAATGATTAAAGAGCAGCAAAATGAATAGTTGGCACATTCTTTGTGGTGTTGAGGGTGAAAGGCACAAATAAAAAAAAGGATCAGATGAGTGAGGAAAGTGATTTTGGCCCCTGGTGTACGGTGCTGGATTGGTCTCAGGTGATCACGTTGGGGCCTCTGTGTTCAGTTCGTTCATGGATGTTGGAGATTTTTAGAGCAATGGCAATGAGAGGACCCAGCACAACCTACAATGATCAAAAGAAAGAGTGAGGAAATATGTATTAAACAGACTGCCAGTATCATGAAACAAATGTAATACAATGGCAAACTGCATTAAAGGAATAATCTGGGTTTAGCTGAATCGACAACATTTGATTACCACAAAAATTTATTTTCACATGTAGAGTTGGAACACTTATAATGAAAGTGGATCGGGTCAATCCATAAACATTCAAATACTCACTGCATTAATAGTATAGCCACAAGATGTAAACAATATGCATGTTAACAGAATTTTATAATCAGAAAAATACTTTTTTAGTAGCTTTATAGCTCAAAATAATACACACGGTTTAACAGAATAATTCATGTAAGTGTTTTTATGAAAGTATAAGCTTCACATTTCTGCATTTAAATCCAACAAAATTGGGCCCTATTCACTTCTACTGTAAGTGCTATGATACTATGGCGTTATCTGTGCAAAATACTGCTTTTTATGTGTTTTTAATCAACTGGTATTGCTATAAATGGACGTGTCCATATTGGTTTTCTGACTTCTGTACTGGAACACGGTCCACTTGGGTGTGACGTCATTATCAGCTCCGGCATCTGACTTTTGAGGTAAATGGAGCGCAGCATTATTTCTTCTAAAGCATGCTGGCAGTACACTGGTTCAATAGCCAAGCTTTTTCAAGTGTCGCTGTGATCCTGCCAATCAAGGGGTTCATATTAGAATAGCTAAAGTGAATTGTTCACCTGAGTCTCTCTGTTGTGTCTCTCTGGGTCTCTCTCGTAGCTCTCTGCGTAGATACGAACAGTGGCCCCGGTTCCAGCACCAGAACCACTGAGCCGGAAGATGATTCGGGATGAGTCTGTGAAGATGATCCTTAGGCCCTGCAGGACAAGTGCAGAAATAGAAATGCAGTTCATTTTAGCGCCAACAATTCTGATTGATCATTGAGTTGTTCCTTGAACCTACAACCTTCAGCTACCAGCTCAAACAAAATGAACTAGTATGCTATACCACAATATCTTAAAAAAAACAAAAAACATTTGAGATCTGAATCACAACAAAACTGTGAAAACGTCGAACACTCAACATGGCGCATTCGTGTTCCTAAACAGACCTTTTAAAATGTAATTTTATGAAAATCTAGGCTGGCTTTACTACTTGGATTTCTCTTGTAATTCATAAAACTATCCACTAGATGTCAGGAAAAACTCTGAGCCAGACTCTTATCAGAAAACTGGTCAGCAGACAGGGAGTCACAGTTAATATTAGATCAAACTTATTTTGTTGACATCAAAGGCTGTTCATTCAGTCAAACTCAATAGTATTTTGAACAAATTCATCTGCCATTTGAAAACAGTTGCCCAAATTAGGTAGATGGAACAGACATGCACTCATCCTCAAAAATACTTTCAGGATTTAGGTTCAACATAACTTGTGCTGATCACAGTGTATTTTAAGCAGTGAATTATTGTAATTAAATAACTATTTACAAATAAATGTACATTTACAATACATTTACATAAGTCGAAATTTTTTCTATTTACACCTAGGTCATGTAAACAATTTTGCATATTTATTGGGCCTATATAGGTGTACTATTCACTATTAAAAAATAATACATTTTTTATTTGAATTTTAAGGACATGTCCATGTCCATTTTAAAATCTGGGTCCTGAATCAAAACCAGAACCACTGTTGTAGATGTAATATTTGTGTTGGTGTGTGTCTGCGTGTGTCATGGTCTCCGACAGCTGAGTGTCTCTTCGGTGGCCCCCTGCAGACATGCAGAGAGGAGGACCGGGACAGCTGACACGATCCGGCACTGGGAGGAATGTCCGTTGTAATAATACACACTCAGCTGTGAGAGGCCGGCCGGATGACTGAAGTGACTGTCACGGTCGGTGGGAGATCACTGATTGGACGACAGGCCGTGACCCCATGTCACCAGTGTGAAATCACACCAAATCATGAGGCTCATACAAGATGTAGACTCTTATGCTCACCAATACTGCATATATTTGATCAAAAATATTGTGAAATAATATTCCAATTGAAAATTCTTTCTATTGGAATATATTTTAAAATGTACTTTATTCCTGTAATGGCAAAGCTGAAATTTCAGCATCATTACTCCAATGATTCTTCAGAAATCATTCTGATATGCTGTTTTGGTGCTCAATACTTTACTCAATGCTGCTAAATACTTTTTTGTAAACTGTATTTTTGTCAGTATCCTTTGATGAATAAAATGTCAACAAAAAAAAAACAGCATTTATTTGATTATTTTATTTGATTTTAGTGACATTTTAAATGTCCTTACTGTCACTTTTGGTCAATTTAATGTGTCTTTGCTGAATAAAATTATTAATTTCTTTAAAGAAAACAAAAACAAAAAAAAACTTACTGACCCCAAAACTTTTGAATGGTATTGTATACCAACGATTGCAATTCTGAGATATAAATGAGATGAGAGGTAGATGAGGTGTCGAAATGCAAAGAGTAAAGTGTCAGGCTAATGTCAAGAGGTCAAGGTTTGGCTGGTTAGCATCCAGTAACCCCCTGCTGGTAGATGCCATAACTACATCATTTTTGTCTCTGGAGAGATTGTTCTGGAGAGGGAGAAGGTGGTTTCCGCAAATTCCTGGTAAGAACCGAGTGAGTCAGCTGGGTAAACTTCAAACACAAGGCTATGCAAGTGTTTATTTGTGTGTAACACAGACCACTAAAGGGCTCTGCATCTTGGTACAGCAAATCCAGGCCAGATAAAGATAAAGAATCTACTGAAACATCCTTCTCCCATTACTATCAAGCACATGTGCATCTCTGTGCTTTAGCACATCCTCCAAAAAAGGAGTGACAGAGAGAGAGAGCAGCTGAATGAAAATTTTAACAGAGTCTCGGCACATGTATATTGTTCATTTCAGCCATGCCGTATATACGGTACACACATAAGCAGCTAAGTGTGAATGTAGATGCCCAAACAAGGAATCTCACTGGGTGGTCCATGTGCACAACAGGACGCGTGCCGTACTAAATAGCGTATAATTGCTGAACATAAAACCTTAATGCTCAACAAACCCCTGGCAGCTCTTTATACGAGCGACTAAGCTGCAAAATCTCTGACATTTCCCCATTATCTCAGATGAATAAGGTGCACTATGGGACCAATGTGTACATTTCTTTTCATCTTCAAATCACAAGTATTTACAACGGTTCATTTCAAATTAATTAAACACACATGTTGTACAGAATCATTTTCTTTTGTTTGGGCAGTTTCAAATATTCCATATAAATGCTGCTCTTTTAAACTTTCTATTCATCAAATAATCATTAGAATAATGTATCACAGTTTTCACAAAAATACTGTTTTCAACATTAATAAGAAGAATAAATGTTTCTTGAGCAGCAAATCAGCATAAGAATGATTTCTGAAGGATCATGTAATGCTAAAGACTGAAGTAATGGCTGCTGAAAATTCTGTTTTTCCATCACAGGAATAAATTATATTTTAAAATATGATAAAATAGGAAACAGTTATTTTAAATTGTAATTGTTTTTACTGTATTTTTGATCAAGCAAATGCAACCTTAATTGGTGAGCATAACAGACTTCTTTCAATAACATTAAAAAAATCTTACCAACACATGCTGAACTCCGCAGAAAACATGTTGAAAATGCACTGCAAACCTATTTAGCAACACAGTATTTTGCCAAACAAGCTGTTGTGAAGCAACATCAAATTAAGAAGCATTTCCTGTCTCCTATTTGTATTATGTATGAATGGACATAAATACAGCACAAAGTCTAGTGTGGCTGCATTATGACAGGCTGTCTCTCATGTTCTGAGCGCTGAACTGACCTGTTTCCTGGACACACTGCCGTCCACTGGGTCAATGTACTCAAAATTATCAGCCTTCTCCACACTGTAGATGTTATTACCCACAGAAAACTTCTGAGTGGTAAACGCTTTATCAGTGATAACAGCTTCCAGATCTCTCATGAGGTAATACGCTGCCCTGCCGTCCACCCCTTCATAGTCAAACCTGTCAGATATAAAATAAATACAACAAACACTATAGTAGATCAATGTAACAGAAAGACTACGAACATAACCTAGCACCTACAGTAATAAATAATGGTTGCATGACCATTTGGAGAGCTCCCAGGATTTTCACATGACATCTACAAGTAGAGCTAAATATGGTGAATGTGGGAAACATGCATGGGAAAGGCAAAAACAATCCAGGCACACATTAAAGAGATTCTGCCTACTCTACTCTGTCTCAAAGGAAAAGCCATTGAGAGGTTGGGTACTGTAAGTATACACAAAGAAATATCCTGAAATGAAGACTGATGTTAGAAATGAAGCTTGGGAAGATGCTGTTTTGGGTTTAGCTCACCTGCAGAAGTAGTTGCGTCCCATTTTGGCCCAGTGATCTCTCACTATTTCCTCCACCCCCTGCTTTCGCACTGCCATGATGGACAACCATACCAGAACTGACCACAGGCCGTCTTTATCGCGGATGTGGTCTGAACCTAAAAGAGAGAGATATATTGATAGATATAAAAGAGAGATATATATTCAAAATATTGATAGCAATATTTTGCTATTCAATTTACATTACTACTACTATGGTAAGATTTTTTATGAACGGTAAGATTATGCTCACCAAAGGTGCATTTATTTGATCAAAAATAGAAAAATACAGAAAAATTTTGAAATATAATTACATTTGAAAACAACTGTTTTCTATTTTAACATATTTTAAAATATAATTTATTCCTGTGATGGCAAAGCTGAATTTTCAGCATCATTGCTCCAGTCTTCTGTGCCACATGATCCTTCAGAAACCATTCTAATATGCAGCGTAACATTTTTGTGGACATTTTGATACTTTTTTTTTTTCAGGATTCTTTGATGAACACACCCTGAACACAACCTAAAAAGCCCAGATGATTCATGGTGAATTTCAAGGTGAGACAGATCTAAATCAGGACAAGACAATGACTAAATGAAAGCCCTCACTGCCTTGATTTATGCTCGACATCTTCTCTATGACTTTTGTTCTTTGATCTGGTTTATTTCATGTAATCATATGTCAGGAAAAGCATATCCGACAGCTGCTCTCTGTGTATGATTAATGCTGGAGTACTGAAAAATGCTCAGGCCTACCGCATATCACATAAGCAGCCAAAGACTGTTGTAAGCCAACATAACATTTTTGTATAATTAGTTTTGACCCCTAAAATCAATAAAACACAATAAAGTTCACTTCAAAAAGCAGATTTCAACATTTTAACAGCTTGTCAGGCTGTTATCTGTTAACTTTCCCTTAGCTCACAAAACAATAAGCGTGACGCAGAAGCGACCTGGTTCACAGCCAAAAGGGAAACTTGCTTCATGCCAATATTCCATAAACACAATCAATTTATACCAGATACCTACACCAACAGATAAAACATATGATGAATGTATGTATACTGTTGTAGACATACAGTAGTATGTCTAGCACAGCTGAGAGTGTTTTGTGAAAAAAACGAAAAAGAAATCAGTATACAGACAAGTGGCCCATGACCACACGGTCAAAACATGGTGAATAATGAGCAGGCTGCTCTTTTGACACCTACAGACAATGCCTCGTGTCTTAGTCAAGGTCTTAGTGATGGTGTAAAAACCCCAGAGGCTTTACAGATCGACCCTGCTGACAACAGAGCCAAGCGTCTGTCTGCCCAGCAACATCATTCAGCGCCAGCTGCTTATTCCACATTCAGCTGCCAACCAAAACACAACCATTCAATACCATGCAAGGGCTCACCTTTACGTATGGGAGTTCCTACAGCTATACGCTCGCAGAAAAAAGGTACAAAGCAGTCACTGGGGTAGTACCCTAAGGTACAAAAGCTAAAAGGTACCACCTAAGTGGTACATATTAGGTACTTAATGGTACCCATTAGCACTTTAAATATGCATTTTAGTACCTCAAGTGTACATATTAGTAGCTTTTGAAAGATTACTGTCCCAGCAACAGTTTTGTTCCTTTTTTTTCTGAGAGTGTAGGCACTTTTGGCCCAGTGGACTCAAGAGAGGTATTTCAACCAAAAATGAAAATTGACCAAATTTTTGAGTGAATTATCCCTTTAAAAAAATAATTTAGCTTAAAACGTACTCTTTACATTCTCACTAATTTGAGCATATACAGTACATACATCACAGGAAATTTTTCCTGATTAGTTTTTTTTTTCTGAACCAACAAATGTAATTTCCACCACGTTTTATTTAATAATATTCTGTGGTGGAAATGATGATTTTGTGATCTTTTTTAAAATAACCAACTTCTTTGTCTTTCTAAGGTTAACTTCATAGCTAGAATTGTATGTCCTAAATACACTTAATTAAATAAAATGTTTACAATTTCTTTGACAATATCAGAATGATCAGAATGAGCTTTATTGAATGAGCTTTTATTACTGCTTGATTGGAAATGACGCTCAATAAAAATATTGTGCTCACGAGTGATATTTATTTTGATTTTCTTTACACATCACGTCTCAATATTTTATCACGTCTCAGCTCTTCAATCACCAGTGACGGCTCTTCGGGGGAAGCAGGGGAGGCAGGGGAGGCACAGCTTCCCCAAAATTTTGAGGTGAAAATGGGAGGAGGACGATTTAATGTTAATAAAATTCACAATTCATTTCAGTTCATGTCTCAGAATGTGTATTTTTTGTTTGTAATTTCACAGTTGTAATACCATAACGTGAAAGCGTCGCTTTTCTATCGCGAATGTGAATCTGCTGATGTAATTGCAACCGCTAATGATAGAGAAAGGTAGGGGGAGGCCGGGGGCTTCTCGTGCCTCCGTTGGAAAAAAAATGAGCCAATCACCATCGAGTGTTCACTTTCAGCGCTGAGGAGTGTTGAGAAAAGAAACCTCGCAGGGGAGGCTAGCCTCCCTTCTGGTATATCAACCAATCATCATAGAGACGTAACTTACGTGATATTAGTTTGAAAGTCTCCCGCTGCGCTGATAATGTACCAAGTACTTATGAGTAGCGATATTGAATATTTGATCGCCAACAGATTTACCAAACTGTCATTCAAACAGTAGATATATATACAAATTAAAAATAAAGGGAGAACACACCTAAGCTGGATATAGGCTAACGTTACAGCAGTCGGCTCTTTTAACACAGACTTTTAAGAAGGGATGGATGTTTGCTTCAAGTGATAGGCCAGGTAAGTGAAATTATATTATCTTGCTGTATGTGTCGTTTTCTTTTCGTTTTCTGACTAAAAGTCATTTTAAAGTGGTTAAGCAAAAAATAATAATAATAATAATCGTCAGGGATCCCCAGACCAATACAATTAGTGTGCCTCCTCTATTTTAAAACCCACGAGCCGCCACTGTCAACCACACCACTGTCTCCATGGCAATCAAAATAAATTTACATAAATCAAACAATAATATTGACATTGATTATTTGTATATTTCTGTCTGTTTGAATTATCATAATATTTTCTCATTGACAGATTCTCATATTTTAAGATTGAATGTATTGCTCCGAGACAAATAAAAAAATCTATACATAAACGTAATTTGAAAAGTAGCAAATATATTTTATGAATGCACATTAAAACGTTTCAATTAAACTCCTGAGACATAAAAAGGGCCCGTCGTTGAACAAACATCCATTAAAGTCCAAATAAGTGCATGCTTATCTTGTTGACCATATGAAGGTTTTTGATTACGTTTATCACTCAACAACTCCTATGTGACCCTGGACCCCATTCCAGATTTTCAAATAGTTGTATCTCGGCAAAATATTGTCCTAACCTAACGAATCTTATTTATTCAGCTTTCAGATGATATATAAATATCAATTTCGAGAAATTGACCCTTATGACTGGTTTTGTGGTCCAGGGTCACATTTGTGGGACTAGAGAACTATACTCCTTCATCTTCTTCTTCTGCACCTCCACCCTGTGCTTTTGTGAGAAAAGCAGAGGAGTAGTCGTTTGCTTTTGCCAGCAGAAACCACTCTCACTTTCTCCCTATTTCAGATGATTCACTATCCTGTACTAATAAAAAAACAACCTCCGAAAATATCAATAAGATAAAACGTCATAATGATTCTTTAAGAATGCCTTCTTTTGTGTTTGAAAGAAAAATAACATCATATGGGTTTGGCACAATATATGGAAAATATGGTAAATAAAGTGAATATTGACAGAAGATTAATGATGACTTTTAAACAGTAAAAGCTCAAGTGGGGCTTTTATATGCTTTTAGAGGACTCTGATGGCACCCACCTGTTCCAAAGCTCTCCTCTCCACAGAATGAACACCTCCCAGAATCCATCAGGTTGCCAAAGAATCTCCAGCCTGTGGGAGTTTCATAAAGCGCCACCTTCATAGCCTTAGCAACCCTGTAAACAAACAGGAAGCATGAGTATTCCAGTGCAATCCAACTCAGAGTTTATTTGGACAAGATCAAATCTGAAACTAAATACATTCTCTCATTGGCTAACAGCATCACCCCTTTATGAGTATCTTTAAAAATGTGTACCTAGCTACATGGCACTGCAATGTTACACTATAAAAAGTGCACATGTGCTATTGTTATTGTTATATAAATTACAAATTAAATATATATTATATATAAAATACATTAGCAATATAATATAATATAACAATGCATTTTTCCTTCAGTACAAAGCCATGCTGCCAAATGTTTTCCGTGTGTTTATGAGTGTTAGCATGACTTGAGCTCTGGACCATGTCAGCTACAGAAGTCTAGGGAATGTCTTTGCATAATAAGATGAAGATGCATGTTGTCTGGCAGTTCTGTGAACACAAATACATTTTCAGACCCCTTTTCATCTTTCATTTGTAAGTCAGAAAAGGACTGAAGGAAAATGAGAAATCATAAACAGAGTACATTCAGATGGATGTGCTGTTAGTTTCTAAAAATTACTAATCCATGTTTATATCTAAATACCAGACTATATGGTAAACAGCAACAAATGACATACTGTGAAAGAAGATGGATGTGGAGGTAATGATCATTTAATGTACTCTGAACAAAGAAATTACCATTCAGCTTTCTACACACTCATTGGTAGTACATTTAGTATCTGTCCTTTGGACTGATTCATAAATCAAGCGGCATATTTTGTCTTCTCAATCCAGTGTCTTTATAAGGCAAAAAGCAGAAAGAAACCATGCTGACATTTTGGCTGACATTTATTTTGAGATTCAGCCATGAGCCTGGAGGAGCAAAGAGCACTTTAATCATCAGTGTGTAGTCTACACCTGTTTAACTCCCTTATACTGTCAAACTCCTGCAAGCTGTCACAGAAATAGGCCTACTTCTGGACAAATACTGTCATACAACATTACTGTTAAGACAGCAAGTTTTGTATTCGGCAATTGTAATCATTCATGGCTATGAAAATAAAAGATATTCAGTGTCAAAATGAAAGTAATCAAGGAAACAAGAGGAGGAATGCAATTACAAGTCTCCTCCTCTGTTTGTTGATCTTGGATAGTTGGCTAGATTCCTAACTATTTTCAGACACTGCAGTCTGGCATTATGGATAATGAGTTGCTGAGATCCCATCAGATGAAGGGACAGATGAGCGGGAACTGATGTAAATGAGAAGAGTTAGGATGCAGCTGTTTACTCATGGGTGGAATTACTAAATATGGGAAAACAAGTGTTATTGACTCAAGGGACAAGGAGCAGAATGGAAAGCCTGGCATACGGACAGCAAACTGGAATCTTTGACCCCTTGACATGTTTTTGATGATTTATTCTCATATTTGTGGCCAACACAAGCAGCGCTATCTCTAATCCAGCATTTTAAATATTTTGCATGCATATGTGTTCATGTGGGTGTGACTGGATTTTAACTAACAATTCTGCCTAAAAAAGGCTTGATGCATTTGGAAAATAATGTGTTTAGCTGGATTTTAAAGTCAGCAGCTGTTCCTAACCTCAGTCTGGCAATACACCCTCTTATCAACTAGCAGAATGTTAGCATGAGTTGACAGGCAGTCTCATTAAGCTGGTACCCCAGTTGTACTAAAATGATTTCCATTTACATTCCTTGCTCCAAGGTATAATAAAATATCTTTGAAAGTGAACCTTTGAATACCAACAGTACTTGAAATTGATTAATTATAATATAAACAAATAGTTTAAGGACTTGACTACATTATAAAGTCTAATCTAGTGAGTGGCATAACACACAGACGATGAGGACCAAAATTAAGAGTTCATCAACAAATACTGAAAGATGCCTTGAAATTAAATTTTAAGAAACAAACAAATAATGGCATCCCCAAATAGAATAGCTTCATGAACAGAGACACTTAAGGATTCTCCATCACCAGCTCCAGAACTATAAAATCTGACTTTTAAAGACTCACAATACAAGAATGTGTTGATTATGGTTGATTTCAACAGCTAATTAAACAGGATCAGTTCCTCTTCTGACTTGACTCTCTTTTCTAGTGGTGTTGGGACTTAAAATGTATGGTGTGAACATTTAAAAGTAAGTTTATCCTTATTACCAGCTGTGCAGATAGTATTTCTATATTTATTATTTATAATAGTTTGTATACTGCTATAAGAAACTCAGAAAGCAATAAATTCATAAACACCTTTGCTGGAGAATAATATGGTGATGGCATACATGGCAAAACATTACTGATTGGTTTGTAATTTTTAATTCATTCTTACTAATGACACATCACATTTCTACAATAGCATCCCAACTGAAAATGTTTACTTTTGCATGATGATCCATTAAACTATAAAGATGTATAAATTTGAAACTTTAGCTTGTGAAGTTTGTCTTCTTTTTATTGAGCCAAAATGTCAGTTTTCTGTCAAGTCTTTTAGCTATACAAATTTGTAGGTCAAAGTTCACCAAACTTCAACTTTAAACTTAAAACTATTATACTGCCATTTCTATGCTGCCACGTTCACATGTGTACAAATGGAAGTGAATGGAACAAGAAGTCTTAGTGTGACTGCACCTTTTGCCTGGAAGGGAACAGCTCAGATTTGAAGGGTGACTTCAGTGAAAGAGAGAATGTGAAAGGGAACAATCTAGAACTGTTTCTAGGCTGGGAGGACCCATACTTACTTAAATATCATTTACAGAATGGAAAACATGACACTCTGCTTAGCTATGGCTATACTTCATAAGGTATAAATTCAGGCCAAACGCAGACTCGACCTCTCTTTCTTTATCTTAGCCACACCAGTAGTTAAATTCTCATTGACACTGTGTTTCTGACATTATATCAATCTCGCAAAGCCTCTAGGAAGTGAATAATGAGTCACAGTGAAAAACAATATTGATTTGAGGAAATCAGGGCTAATTCTGGTGTTATGGCACAATAAGCACTTTCTGGCTGTTTTTAATGACTGATTGGGCAGCGCAAAATAACATCACTTCCTGTTTGACTGCCAGCATTGTAGGAATAGAGCACCCACTATCCCTACAATGTCTTACAAACCTGTATGACTTTTTTTCCACTGTGAAACACAAAATAACTTATTTTGAGAAATGTCCATACAATGGAATTCTTTTGTTCATACAATGGAAGTCAATGGTTACCAAAACGTTTTGTTACCAACATTCTTCAAAATATCTTCTTTTGTGTTCTGAAGAAAGAAAGTCATAAAGGTTTGGAACGACATGAGGCTGAGTAAATGAGATTTATCGATACTGATGTGAGTACCGAAAGTATTGATACTCAAATAAAAAATATTGATACTAAGGTGTTCACTCACTTCTGACAGTGCATTCAAACAGGCCTGTGTTTCCCAAAAGTATCATAAGACAGCATTGATGCTTTTGTGAAATGCAGTTTCCAGAACAATGAGGACAGAAAAAAAACATATGTTTGAGTTATTTCACAATAAATAAACTTAAATTGTAGCCTACATTTGTGCAATTACATTTATTTAAATTGAACGTTAAAAGTTCATATTGATCATGTTCTATTCTGTAATGTTAGTATAAATCATACACTGTCAGAATAAATGCGTGCAACAGCCTGTCACTGGCAGTCCCTTATGAAAATGAACCATGGTTTTACTAAAGTGACCATATAGTTCAACTATAGTATTTGTTGATTTCCATGGTTACCACTACAGTAAACATATTTTAATCATGTGTAAATAAAAATATAACCTAATAAGTTGCCATTAAGGCGTATTGAATGTTAAAATGCGTTTCAAATATAAAGTTAAGTGGATAACTACCATTTTTACTCTTAGTAATTTAATAATTTAATACATTTCATAACTTAAAAGTTCAGTTTGAGAAATGACATTTTTCAGAAGTATTGTATCGGTATCGGCGATACTGGCCTTTAAAAGTATCGGTATCGTATCGAAAAAAGAAAACAGCCAGCCCCGCCCCCAACTCACACCATTGGTTGAGCTGTTGCCATGTCAGACTAGGCAATGTTTTAAGCACCACAGAACCACAAAATTTGCTCTAAATTGCATGGGATAGTAGAAAGTATTTAACACCCCCCAAAAATTACACTTTACATTTAACAAATGTCATCTAATCACATAAAATCACTATTCATTTCTCATAGCACAAGATCCTGTCTCAAAGCAGGCAGGTCTTTAGCATGATGCACCCTGAAAGTTATTTTTAGTGGGGTGAATAGTGTCTGCAGGAGCGCAGGGCTGAGCTAACACTGTTATTCTTAGGGAGTGAGTCTCCATGCTGTAACCTCTGGCCCCATCACTAATGCTTTTACCGCTCAGTGTCTTGCACTGGACAGAACGAGAAGCGAAAAACTAATTGTGAGAGAGTGGAAAGATCCTGATGGATGATTTCCTCCCTGATCATCAGCTTATCAATTATTTTGAGAGTTGACTGGCTTTTATTTACACAGCCCTGAACTCTTACAGTATGTTAAGGGAAAATGTCACTGACTCTTATTTGACAAAAAAAAAGTGAGAGTCAAAAAGAGAAATTGCTGCACGCTGTGAGAAATCATTTTAAGTAGAACCAACAAGTGTCTTTGGCAGTGGGCTAAATAAAAGTGCAAGCAAATAAGGTGTAATTAATATTTATGTACATAATTAATATTCATGATAGTGCACAACAGTCAAACTGATTTTAAAGTTAACAGCTAGTGCCCAGCATAGTCATTCTGTGGGAGGTTAGTAGTACTCTTTTATCAGAGTGGTTTGAGTAAATTGAGTTTTAGTGATGACTTGTTAAATTTCAGGCCTGCAGCCTGTCTGTGAATAAAGGCATTTCAGTGCTATCATCTGAGAGCATGTTACACACTATACCCTAAGGTACAAAAGCTAAAAGGTACATCTTTGTACCTTATTTATTTCTAAATGGAACTTATTAGTACTTTAAAAGTATAGATATTGCCTAAAGTGTACATAGTAGTACCCCTTTTTTCTGAGAGTGCAGGTATCCTATCAAAGAAATATAACACCTACATTTCTAGGAATGTTCTTTCGATAAAAATAAGTGTATTTTTCACAGTTAGATTAGTAATGTTTTCTTACCTGTCAATGGCTGTGCTGGTTGGCATACTGCGGGCAAAACCTCTGATTCCTCTCTGACTGAAGTAAGGGATGCAGGAGAGGTTTGCAGCCATCACTGCCAGTGAATCTGACGGGCTCACAAAGAATCCATTCTCACCGATAATCATGTAACGATCCTATACATAAGACAAACATATCCAGTTAGTTCTGTCATCTAATCTGACTAAACAAGCAACTCTGTGATATTATATTTTATCTAAAATATAAGTTATTTGATGTACATTTCTTGTTCATTGATCTTTTACATAAAATAACCAAATAACCAGCTGCTGCATCATTTGAAAATGATGAAGAATACATACATTACTGTTGAAAAGTTTAGGGTCAGTAAGATTTTTTTGTTGTTGAAAGAAATCAATTCTTTTATTGAGCAAGGATGCATTAAAATGACCAAAAGTTACAATAAAGACTTTTACATTGTTACAAAAAATTATATTTGAAATAAATGCTGTTCTCTTGAACTTTCTATTCATCAAAAAGTGAAAAAATCCACAAAAATATTAAGAAAAACAACTAAGAATAAAGACATCTTTCTTGAGCACCAAATCAGTATATTAGAATGATTTCTGAAGGATCATGTGACACTGAAGACTGGAATAATGGCCACCAAAAATTCGGCTTTGCCATCACAGGAATAAATTACATTTTAAAATATATTCCAATAGAAAGCATTTTTTTATTTTAACATTATTTCACAATATTACTGTTTTTACTGTATTTTTGATTCAAATGAACATAAGAGACCTCTTTCAAAAACATTAAAAATCTTACCTCAGACTTTTGAATATTAGTGTATTTGTTGTTTTCTTAACAGTATGGACTGTTATATACAATTCCTGTATCTCACTTGTTAAATGAAATAAAAATAAAGAACTGCAATCAAAGACCCTGACAAAGAAGCTGTAAATAATCCAGCAATAATTTGGTTTAACAGCCTTGATTCTTATGCTTTCTGCTTGAATATTATTCTTATAAAATGTTTACATTTTTTCTGCGTAATTTGTAAGTTATTTGTAAATGATTATCAGACGATAAGAGACAAGCACCCCATCTGCATCAAAAGCAGCCCCAAAGCCAAACTCTCCCCCCTTCATGGAGTCCACCAGAGGTGCAGCGAATGCAGGGTTAGGGTTGGGGTGTTGGCCTCCAAAGTCCTCCAGAGGGACACAGTTAACAGCAGAATTAGCTGGAGCCCCGAGCTCATCACATAAGATTCTTCTGACATATGGTCCCATAACTGAAACAGATGACATAAAGATATGACTCTACATACAGATATAAATCTACATAGAAGTATTTGCAACGGTCTACAGGAGTTTACCTCCATTCATGGCATCTATTCGGATCTTCAGTTGTTTTGGACCTGTCAGCAAGCTCTTGATGGCACCAAAGTCAAAAATTCCTCGCAACATGTTTAGATAGATCTCAACTGAATCCACAATCTCAACTGAAAAATGGGGGAAGAACATTTTTAAGCTCAGTATATGAGTGTAAACTGAAGTTTGTGACAATAACATTATGAAAAGTTAAGTTAATATGCCTCACCTCTGAATGGCTTAAACTTGTTCTCCAAGTCAAAGTCATGACGGCCAAGGCGGGACAGGTCGATGTGGAGGTCAGGGCAGATGGCGTATTCCTCTAGTGTGCGACTCACCTGATGGATCCTCTCCATCACTGTGTCTGGAGATGGTCCTGTAAACAGGAAACAGTGACAGAAAAAAAAGCCCAACAACTGTAAGTTGGCTCTAAGAATACTGCATCTGTGATTTAATGAAAAAAGTCAATACATTTTCTAGGAATTGTAGCTATATACTGTATGTGTGTTGCCAGGGTCCAAAATAAACAAAATTAATGCTCTGGACAAAAAATTACTTTAAGTCATCACATGTGGTATATCCTTCACAATAATCCACCAAAATGAAAATATAATTCATCACAGTGCATATTCACATATTTGTGATAAATGTGGTTTCACTGAGAGATGGAGGCAGAGATGGTATTGACTTTTTTTTTTTTTACTTTCATTCAGCAAGTATACAATCAATGAATCAAAAGTGACAGTAAAGACTTTTACATGTTCACTTTTACAATGATTTTATCATGTGACACTGAAGACTGGAGTAATGGCTGCTTTGAAAATTCAGCTTTGCTATAATTAGAGTATATTACATTTTAAACAGTTATAATTATAATAGTATTTCACAATTTTACTGTTTTATTGTAGTGTACTGTACTGTTTTTCAGTATTGGTGAGCATACAGTTTGCACTGTTTGTCACTAATATGCAAGAAAAAATTATATCCCCATCATAATAATGGTGTATGTCAAAGTAAAAAATAAATTTAAGGTAAGAAATATATTTTAGGTACATTTAGGTCCATAGATATGAAAATATGTCCATAGAAGATATTTTTTTAGAGATTCAAGATGTACAACCCTATTCCACTTGGGTTTCGAGGTGTAAATAGTTCTTCATGACAGCTTACACGAAGGTAATGTTAACCTGAGGTCATGACTTCACTGGCACAGTGATTCCCTTAAAGGCTGATATTATATATAACATAATGAAATCAGTATGTCATCTTTATTATTCTAAAAGTGCATGTTCTCACCTCCATTAGCAACATTAAATTTGATCCCAAAGTCTCCTCCTGGGCCTCCTGGACTGTGGCTTGCAGTGAGAATGATCCCACCAATGGCTTTTATCTTCCTGATGATGCAGGAGACCGCTGGGGTGGACAGGATCCCGTTGTGTCCAATGACCAGACGTCCAATCTGAAATCAAAGTTTTGGTTTGATTGGTGTGAAGTTTGATTTATCTCTTTTTTTTTCAGTACCTTGAAAGTCAATGGAGTCCAATGTTGTTTTGAACTCCACTGACTTTCACTGTGAGAATGAAAACATGAAACTTTCTTTAAAATTTCTTCTTTTGTGCTCCACAGAATAAAGTAAGTCATACAGGTTTGAATTGACAAGTGGGGGGGGGGTGGGGGGGGGGGGTGTATTTTATAATATGAATGGAATAAAATAATGTAGAACATCAAAAACAATGACTTCAGGCTTTATGCTCAGACTGAACTAAACATTAAATCTTCATTAGAGGCACAACCAAATATGCTAGAAATGTTGACAAACAGAGTTGATGAAGCATTATGGCTCATAGCCATATGTTCTGGCTTTCCATGTCATTCTGACAAGAACATGAGAGGTAAAAACAAGGGAAGCAGCGGCTCTCCAGGAAGAGTGTGCAGGGGAGGGATGGCACAACAGATAAGACAGGATACATTTGGCCAGGCCAGGATAGAGATTTAGCTCTAAAACTTTCTGTCATTATGTGCACAGTTTGTAGCTTCTCAGGTTTTCCAACAAAATGCTCAGTTGTTTGGGATTTCAAAATCCAGATATAAGAGCTCTCAAACATTATATAAAAACAGATATGACAATTTATACTATAAATCCATTTAATGCTATACTGAATCATGCAACTAAACATGTCCACCAGATATACAACAAATCATGCTATAAAGCTTGTGCATTTTTTAAAGACACATGCAATGATAATTATAAAAATAACAATAAAATAGACAGATAATAATAACAAAAATGAATACACCAATAGGTAAATAAAACCGATGTTACCTTTTTGTTGATATAGATCAGAAAAATTATGAAATGTATTAAATAAATGAATAAACAAATTTTTATGAAAGAAAGAACGAAAGAAATGGGCTTTCAGTAATCTGATGTTAGCTTTTTGAAGAAACATTTATTAGAAATGCTATTGGAATACATTTGAAATTATTGAACTAGAGGGACATGCATGAGATTTTCTTTTCCCTTTAAAGAAATATAAACACCATCTTACCCCATTGGCAGCTGTCATTTGAACGATGACTTCAGTTGCAGCCCGGCTGAAGTATCTTCCATCGCTGCCCACCACCATAGTGCATCCCTGACGGTCCCTCAAGTCGATGGAGGACAGCAAGCTTTGGATGTAATTTTGCAGATAGTTCTTTTTACTTTCGAAAACCGCTGTCTTCTTTCGCAGCCCATTTGTCCCTGGTCTCTGGTCATCGAAGGGGGTAGTTTGGATAGTCAAAATGGGTATAGGGTTAGTTTCCATGATTTTCTGGAACGCTTCGGGATGTCAAAAAATTGGTTTGTTAACAGCTGAATGAGGTGTGATACAGTGTTCAAAATATCGTCAAAAGCAACAGAGGAAGTTCACGGAGGCAGCGAGCAGGGTGCGCCACAGCGCAGTGCGCTTCAGTCCAAGTGAATTATTTGAGACGCGTCCCGTGACGCCTCTTTGGAAAACTAGTGTACGACAGCTGTCTTGTCATCGCACCACACAAACTGTGAAGTAGGGCCACAAAATACAGAATAAATTGGTGTAAAACGCAAAGAAATATTCCAAAATGAGGTCTTACGCTCATCGACACCCTTCTCCCGAGCTGTCATGCGTACGTTTGCTTGCCAAAAGGCAGGGAGGGGAGAAAACTCTATATAATGAGCTAACGCACCGAACCAAAAATAGCCCATGATGTGGGGGAGCGAATAGTGACAGTGTGTGCCGCTGTGTAATCGAGCACCTCCACTGTCCGTGGCGCACTGGAGCTACATGATGCGCCAAGGTGGACAGCAGCTCTCATCTGACGCACACTGGATCACAAACAGAAATGTCATAACATCCATAAAATTAAATAACATTAACCAAGACAAGAAGGAATGAGATAAATAACAAACTGACCAAATTTCCAATCCCAAAATAGAAAAGGGAGACCGAGGCTGGTTGGCACAAGAGTAATGGGGTTGAGTCAGTTAAACAAATTAAATTGTATGTCAATTATACAAAAGTCAAATTAAACAAATGTGTTAGCAGTGGATTTGTGTTGGTTTCAATCATCTAATTCAAAAACCTTTTCAATTACAATAATTTTGTGAATTCTGTTCTCCAAACTAAATTTAGTATCATATTTTGTAATAGCTCTTGAGTAGGCTAAACAAGTGAACACAATACAACTGATATCCATTCAAACAACAGTCAGCTATGTAATTAGGTAGATTTTGAAAGGTTGAACTGTGTTCTGAGGACAAGGACGTTTTTCATAAATGCCAGGTCGAGGCAAGTTGCCAAATGCGTTTCTTATGTTGTAATTTTAAGTATTGTCTACATATTTTATAATGGCCAAAACAATGGGTTGATATATTTGTATGTTACTTTCAGTAATTGTTTTGAGGCATGTCTCCATACAGAAATGGACTTTCAAAAACCTATTCTAATAAATATATGGAGTGAAAAGTGTAACAGATAAACCATAAGCCTATTTGTTTTCGCTGTAAATGCATTATTTGTCTTATTATATAACATTATAAAGCAGAGGCGGACAGTAGTGAAGTATTTTTACTTTACTCAAGTAAATTTAAAAAGTATATGTAGTTTATCAGTGTTTTTCTTTGGAAAACTTTACTTCACTACATTCCAAAGCATAATGCCATACTTTTTACTGCACTACATTTCATAAATAAAAGTTGTTGTTTGTTTTACCTTTAATACTTAAGAACTTTAAAAATGTAGTACTTTCTTGTACTCAAGTATATCTTTGAATTATTTTATCTTGAGTAAAAGTAAGAAAGTACTAGATTTCTAATGTAATTAAGTATTACATTATATTTAATATGAAGCGTAGTGCAGTAAAAAGTACAATATTATGCTTTGGAATGTTGTGAAGTAAAGTTTTGTAAAGAAAAACAATCTGATAAAGGACAGACACTTGAAAAGTACTTTTAAAACAAAGTAAAAATACTTCCCTACTGTCCGCCTCTGTTATAAAGTGATATTTGAAGTCAAGCAAATCAGTCAAATTAACCGAGCAAGCACATGCGTCTCAATGCATCGAGTGCGAATCATTTCACGAGCTTCAGTCTCCATCTAGTGGACACGAAATTATAGAAAATGTCTTGCAAGCAGTGAAAGGGATTCTGTAAACTATAATGTACGCAACTCGCTGTTACTGGTTTTAAAATGCGAGTATAGGCTACTGAACGCGCATTCATATGCAATCTTTTAACAATTGGTAGAGCTTTAACTTTAAAAACTATTTAAAGTCAATGTAAAGTTATTTCCCCTCTTTTTTATCGTTTTTTTTTAATGAAATATACATTACTCAACATTCCAACATATAGGCTAGCCAACATTTAAAGCGATTTTAAAATAATCAGTTTTTTGGATAAATTAATGAGCAAAATGCACAATTTCAGTTAGTTACTATAAGGTCTTTATGGGGAAAAAAATACACGATACTCGCCTAAAAATGGATAATGAGTACCAATAATGAGTAATACAACACATACCTACTTGAGATTTGACGATGATGGTTTATTTAAACAGACATTTTAATACATCCACTTTCCAGGATTTTAGACTAGCAAATATATTACTATTTATTTATTTACATTAACTATCATATAAGAGCAATGACAGAAATATCTTATGTTACAAGTCTATTTAAAACGACAAGAGTTCGTGAGTTTTCCAGACACAGTTCAACAATGAGGAGGGTACACCATCCGCAGAGTTTCTGTGAAAGGAACAGTCTTCAGCACAGGAGTCCTTGTTGGCACTGGTAACAAACTTGGAGTCACACATGATGTCGGCCTGGGAAATACATAACTGTAGTCAGGTGTGAGATGATGAGCAGAGTTTTTGTGAGGAGACGCTGTTGATTTGGCCATTATGCTGTCAATGCTGAACGAACACTTCTGGGTCTTGTGCTCGGGCCTGTGCTGGATTTCTGGAGCTTCGTGGACCTTAATGTTGAGAGTCTGATATTGGAAATATGGAGGTGACACCATGATGCCATCCGGCACTGGCAAATATCCAATAGGATTACCCTGGGCTGGAACCGGCCCAGAAACGCAGTAAGGACGCCCATATGCTCGATAACTTAACGTTGGGTGGAAAAGCAGCAGGTTGTCTTTGGTGAACTCGGGTTGGTTCCTCTTGAATCTTTTTCTTCTGCGCAGAAAGCTGCCGTTGTCAAACATGTCCTCAGATGCAGGGTCCAGGGACCAGTAGTTCCCTTTCCCCGGGTTTCCAGGCTCTCGTGGGATCTTGATGAAGCAGTCGTTGAGTGACAAGTTGTGTCTGATGGAGTTCTGCCACGCGGGGAATTTCTCCTTGTAGTACGGGAACTTGTTGCTGATGAAGTCGCAGATGCCGCTGAGGGTCAGCTTCTTCATTGGGCTCTGGAGGATCGCCATAGTTATGAGGGCGATGTAGGAATAGGGAGGTTTGACGGCGGAGTTTTGCTTTGGAGCGGACGGGGTGGAGAAGCTGCTATCGCTCTCTCCTGAAGACTCGGACCCTGAGTGGTCCACCTCCGTGGGGTCCTTGCAGAAATACTCTCGGTCGCTATGGTCTCCTCTGACGGTGTCTATTTCATCGTCTTCAGAAGAGACGGGGGTACGCTGCCCTTTTTCGTAATCCTGGGAAAGGGTCATGGTTGGAGACCATGTGCTGGACGCGACTTGTGGTTGGTGAAGCTTGTGGCCGGTTTGCAGGACTCATGGAAACGAGGACTATTTATGAGAGGCCACACGCATTCCGTCTTTGGTCCGCCGATGGTCAGACCAATAGGGGTGGAGTGTCACCGCAGGGATTCAGGACAGTCGGGCAGGTGTGGGGGTCTTTGACTTGCTTAAACAAAACCAAACAGCCCATTAGAGCATCTCAAACTCAGGAGATGGCGAAATAAGTGTACTGTTTTCAGTCATATTTAATATTTATTACTTTTTTGAACCAGGTTAAATGTGGAATTTTCCTGTTTTATTATAGCCTAGCTAAGAAAACGTTCTGGCAACTTTTTATGTCGCTATTTTGCTTGTTAAATAAGGAACATAATGTAATATCTTTAGCTATTATTAAGTAATTTTAGCTTCAATATTGAAATAATAAATTGATATTATCAAATGTACTTCCAAATTATGAATCTATTTTTAAACGCATGTGCCAAGTTTCATGCATATTTCGAAAAATAAAATCTTTTACTATTTTCTAAAGTGTTACGTAGGCCTACGCAAGGATTGCGTGTAAAAAAAGAGAGAAACTCTCTATATTTTAATATTAATGCAGTAGTCTATTTTAAAATAAGCCTATATTTGGTGACGCTTTCTTGAGGTTATTTGACCTGAAGTACATTATTCAATTTTGGGTCACATGACAACAAAATGTTTTTTGCATGTGGTTATACACACTGACTTTTTTTTTTTTTTTTTTACTTTAATAGCTAATGTTTAAAATAAAAGATGTAATCCGTATTTTAATACATAATATAATGCCAAAATAATTAAAGTCTTTTAATCTCCACACATTTGAACCTTGACATCTTTAAGTTGCACATAATAAAAAAAGTGGATTTATTTATTTATGAACGAATGCGTGAATGAATGAATGAATTGCATTTTTAATGTGTTTTAGATCCGGACAAAAATTTGCGTAATTCACGTCCAATAAAAATACAATCGTTATATTCTATGACCTTTTAAGATTCCTCCCCAATTCAGAAGCAGGTTAGCGCAGTGGGAGCCGGGACGTACGTGATGGTGAATTTTCACACCACGCCTAACTACCGGTTTAAAAGACTGATTTTCCCCCGATACCCCCTGGGTTTCGTTTGGTTTGTCACCTCAAGATACCCGCAGGTGGTGTGACCATGAAAATGGCCATGGCCCGGCTCCCCGCATTGAAAGAAGAATGCCGGTAAACGAGCCTATCAACATCAGAATCAAATAGGAAACGGCGCAGCTTTAGCCTACAGGCGAGGAGAGAGTTTTATTGGAGGGCATGAATGAGCGCAGCAATCCTCAAAGCAAACCTTCTTGCGCGGATGTGTGTTAAAACTGTTCACAGTCATCTCAATTGCAAATGAAAGGGTCCATCCACTTCCTCAGCTGTGGATGGTGTGGAAGTGGATGCATGTAAATTTCTGAGAGTACTTGAAAGTTGTGTAAACTAACAGAGCTATTTACAGCACTCATTCATATGACAATTTAAAGAAATCCAAAGACCTAAACTGATCTTAAAAGTGTTTGTACTCAATATTAAGGCTTCTAATAACACAAAGCATGAAAAAAAGCAAATTATTTATAGTGTGACAAAATTTATTAAAATATTTTCGTACTAAATTGTTGTAATATATAACAAATAGAACAACAAACATTAGTGAAGCATTAATGAAATTTGTGAACATTTTTTGTAACTCTTTTACATGTATGCATTTGGAAGACACTTCAAAATTTGTGTTGCACTGAATGCACATATGATATAATTTCATTATTGTAACTTAAGATTTAATTTGCTCTTAGTTATCATAATATATGTTCCACTAGAGACACTCAACAAAGTAAACTCTGCCAACCAATTTTCGCAATGCATGTTAATATTGCCATTTTCGCCTCGTCACAGAA